TACCTCATATCGTAATTTTTGAGGGGAAAAATAAAACTAACACTGATAGGAGGTCAAAATAGGGCCGCGAAGCGGCCCATTGATGGCGCGGCTTCAGGGGGTTGGACCGCGTAGCGGTCAGGGGGCATAGCCCCCTATAGTATTTGACTATTTTCCCATAGCCATTTGACGACATATCGATTGCAGTGTTTGAAAATGTCTTTCCTCCCCCCTCCCCTTGGCACCAAGTTTTACGAGAATCCGACGAGCAGGAACCGAGATAGCGATTTAGGCCACGCCCGCCACCTTGGTTTTTCGAATTTTCGAAATTAGACTAAAAATTCGAATTTAATCGATAGAATGGGAGCCGAAGTATCAATTTAGGCTACGTCCGCCGTCTTAAATTTTCAAATTCAGAAAATTCAACTTGAAACGCATCATATCTAAAATTTAAGCTCAGATGCGGCTTCCTCGTGAAAAATCGATGCTATTTCATGTATCATATGTTACCATAGCATAAAGAAAAGAGGGTAATCGTAGGCGTAAAGATTCTATCAAAGCCGGCCGGTATGCGGAAGTAGGCACAGAATTCAAACGTTTGAGCTACGCCGCCAGACGCCGGCGTCAAGCATTTGGTTCGTCCGTTTCCGAGAAAACAAACTTCTTCTTACTCATCAGCTGACCCACTCCGAATCACCCATGTTGCCACGTCGGACTAATATGTTAGAATCTACACGCCTACTTTAATCTCTTTCCTTCATGATATGGTGACATATGATATATGAAATTGCATCGATTTTTCACGAGGAAGCCGAATCTGAGCTTAGATTTTGGATATTATGCGTTTTGAGTCAAATTTTCTTTTATCTATTTTAAATCACTCAGGAAAATTTGCCGAAACTCATTAGAATAACAGTGTGTATTCTTTTAAAAACATTGATCAAAAATAAAACATTGACGGTATTTGAATCCATTAATCTCCGAGATAACTTGAACACGGTTGTTCTACGACTTTTTACGTATGTTGTTTTCTTCCGCATTATGGTTGTCGGCAGCGTAGCGGCCAAAGGCCCCTGGTACTAATAACAGTTTTCAAAATCAATTTTTTTCTACATCCAAAATTCCAAGGAAATGGCAGAAATTTATCAATTGTTACTAATGTTTTAACAATGTTTCTCGTCAAGATGAAGGAGAAAAATAAAAAGAAGCAGCATCTATCATGGGAACATTAAGAAGACGTACACTGTCTCTAAAATGAGCTTGAAATACTGCCATGATAGCGAAGAGAGCAGTAAGTGCATGCTGGGATGAGACAAATAAAAGCATGTGCTAACCATCGTTCATACAGAAATGCACTTACTGTTCTCTTCGCCATCACGGCAGAATAGTGGTTCCTTATTGCGAAATGCAGTCCAATTGAACGTATTTCTGTCAAACGGAACTGTGTGCATTAAGAAATGAGCCCTGAGATCCATCAGAATACATGCTTAACAGAGCTCACGTCATAACGCGCATGGTTCTGTTTGGCAGAAATACGTCCAATTTTGGCTCTAAACGGGACGTTTCCATTAAAACTTTGAAATACCTGTCGGGAGCGTTGGACACGACGATATCTTGTGTGTGCTCGGGACGACCCTTGGGACGGGCGGCGACATCCGCCGGAGTGGAGGCAGGGACAGGGACCTCTTCCTGGCTGATCTGCATCTGAGCCAGGTTGTCGTACTTGCGGTTCTCGATGCGGTAGAAGTCCCTGGCGTCCCTCGGGAACTGGAAGTCCTGGTCGTCGTCCTCCTCCTCGGAGAACCCGGTCGACCAGTCGTCCTCCGCGTCCGTCCTCTCGCCCTTCTCGCTCACGGGCGCGGGTCCCACGCCCGGCTTCTCGAGAGTGATGTCGTGGAGGTGCTCACTGTTCATGATGAGGATCTTGCTGGCCGCCTCCCACCTCTCGTCCTCCTGCCGCCTCTCCTTCTCCTCGCTCTCCACGTCCTCGTCGTCGTAGTCGTCCACCACGAACTCCCCTTCCGAGTCCTCCAGGATATCGTCACTCCCCGACCGTTCACCGTTGAAATCTGCGCCGTGAAATACACAATAAGAAAGCGCACAAAGCAGCAAGACGCACTGGTCAACACAGTCAAGTAAAATATGGTTTAGGGGCCGTTCAGGTCGAATTGCCAACAATCATCCGCGAAAGACACACAGAAATCGTTTGGATAATTGAAAATCGACGAATTTTTTTCAACTATGTAAAACGGGTTATCTTCAGTTTCATGTCAGGTTATGGGGTGAATACTATCTTTTGCATGCTCTCGTGGTTTTGGGCACACATCAAACTAATTTCCAGGTTCGAAATTGGCGGAAAAGCCCGCCGTTTACTCAAAAGTACAGCTCTCGTTGCCTCTTTGGCGGTACAATACCTCTTTACGACTGAATTCTCTGAAACAACGTCAATTTTTGCGCACTTACGGCTTTCTCTTAGGTTACATTATTATAAAAATAAGATGAATTTTTGCTGTTTCAGTGTTTCATCCATAAGAGATTACACGAATTTTGAAATTAACGACGATTTCAATTTCGAAATTTTGAGAGTTACGGCTCTCTTCGCTACGTCAACGGATTTGTGCCTTGTCTGGTAGGTACTGCCGTGCTAAGGAAAAACGCGATATGAACCTTCAGGCGTTGCCAAGTTTCCTTTGATAAGAAACGAATTTTCTGGAAAACCTATGCATATTTTCGCTCCAGTTTTTTCAGATAACTTTGTGCGCAATTTCATCTAAAGGTCCTGAAAATTTCAAGGGAAAATAATTATAAAATTCTTCAAAAATAAACATTTCACTAAGGGAAATTTGGCAACTCTCGAATGTTCATACGGCGCTCTTCCTCAGCACGGCAGAGTTGTCCACTATCAACTGGATCGCATTTTGCAAGAAGGAACCAGCGCTATTACAGAGATTTTAAAATCTTGAAACATCTCCTTTTCTTTTAAAAATACTTAACATTTGTACAATACTAACATTTACACAACAGTTTTCCTTTAAAATTAATAATTTGTTGGTGAAAAGCCAAAACTAATTGTTATTTTGAGACTTTTTGGATAATTATGAAGAAGCATCATTTTTACAAAACTGTAATTGTGCTGATTCCTTTTTGCTATGGCCTGGCTACACGATCGAATTCCCGTCTAATTCCCATCAAATGGTGAATGGTGCGCACCATCTACCATCAAATTTCTGCGGCCTGCAAAAATTTGATGGTAGATGATGGAGCTGTGGGGCTCATCCTCCATCTGATTTCTACACAACCGTGCTTATTTCATGCTTATAGACGCTATTAAGTGGCGACGTCATCATAGGGATTCTCCATTATATCGAATTGGATCCAAACAATAACATTGGCATAACCTCTTTCAATGCTACCAATGCGAAAAAATCGATGAATATCGCTTTTCTGTGACGTTGCACTAATAGCGTCTATTTCAATCAACACGCTATTTTAATTAATTTTACTCATCACTCTAGATAACTCTCGACCGCCATCTTGGTCATCATTTTGATCGGACTTTGACGGGAATTTGATCGTGTATAACCAGGCCACTTGATGCGATGCAACTTACCGTCGAGGGAGCCGTTGAGCCGCTGCGGAGCCGGAAGTACGGTGGTGGAGGCGGCGGCGGCGGCCTCCTGGAGGATCTCCTGGTACTTCTTGATCTGCTCCTGGATGTCCTGCTTCTCCCTTTGGAGCTGGTCGAGCTTCCTCCGCTCGGCGCCCTCGTCGAACTCCTCCTCGATCTTGGGGAGCTGGGTCTTGGGCTCCTCGACGACGAAGGGGCCCTCGTCCTCGGACTCGGGCTCGGTCCAGGCCTTGCGGAAGGGGAGGTACTCCTCGGGCACGACGCTGTAGCCGGACCGGGGAGCCCCGTTCCCGCTCGGGTGTCGCTCCTCCGGCTGCTGCTGCGTGTGGATGAGGAAGTCCCGCGACGTCGTCCGACTCACGCTCGTGTTCCCGTAGTCGCTCAGGTTGTCGTCGTCGGCGTCCACCGTGTAGATTGTCGTGTCGCCCTGGCTCATGAAGCACTTGCTCGGTAGAGGCGCCATCCCCTGCAATCCATGCACCAAAGCAAATCTCACAGCCGTTCAGGACTTGGACCATATGGACGTATTTCTACCAAACAGATCTATGTGGAGGTGAGAAATATGGGGTGTGCTCGTTAGTTCTCTGGCCATAAGAATAAATGGACGTATTTCTTTCAAAAGGAACTATGTGCATTAAGACATGAGCCCTGAGACCCTTAAGAATATATGCATTGTAGGGCTCACGTCACAATGCACATAGTTCCGTTTGACAGAAATACGTCCAAATGAGAATAATAAAGCGCCAGTGACGTCAGCGGCGACGATGGAGACTCCGATCCGCGGATCCGTGTCTTTAACTTATGAGCCCTGTCCACAACGCTCTCTTGTCATGCCCGCGGCTCATGAATCTCGCATTCAGTTGGCACATAGGTCTGTTTGATAGAATGTACAATCCCGCTTTTCCAATTCTTCAAAAGGAATCACGCCCACTTTTACATAGCTTCTTATGCAGCCTCGACGAGCACACCTCATATTTCTCACCTCCACATAGGTCTTCTTGGTAGAAATACGTCCATTTGGACCGCGTTTAGCAGAAAGGAGCCGAGCCACATCAGTTATTACCTTGCATTACATTTTGCAATAAGGAACCACTATCTTTGGCTCCTCCATGAAATCACCCCTCTGCGTATGGAAACCAATGGCATGTATATTTTTTCTAAAATGAGCCAGAAATGGACGTATTTCTATCAAACGGAACTAAGCACCATAGGGGGAGGAAGGTAGAGGGGGCCTTGGATTGGCGGCAGAAACGGCGTTGGGCTCGTTTCGTCCTATACCCGCAATGCTTTTCCATGGCGCTTAGTTCCGTTTGACAGAAATACGTCCAAATAGTGGTTCCTTATTGCAAAATGAACCGCGTCAAGCAGAAAGGAACCAAGCCACACCTGCTATTGTCAATTTAACGGAGCAATTTAATTTTTTAAACGGTCGTGCGGATTTTTGTGCAAATTTCAGTGGATTTGTCTACATAGTGCGAAGCAAATTCCCAAACATTTTCAAAGGAATCCGCACAAACGTGCTCTCGTAAAAAATTAAAGTGCCCGGTTAAATTTGGCAATAGCAGATGTAGATTGGTTCCTTTCTGCTTGACGCGGTTCATTTTGCAATAAGGAACCACTATTTCTTGCTCATTTTAGAAACAACATATATGCCATCGGTTTTCCTATGCAAAAAGGTGATTGTATGTAAGAGCCAGACAAAGTGGTTCCTTATTGCAAAATGCAATCCAGTTTTAAACCTTTAGGATCGGATGATTACAAAAAGACAGTGGAAACAAGGCTGAAAATGCACCAAATTTTGCACGACGTTGCGGTGTCGCGATTCAAGACTTCGAGTCTTTCATACGATTACCACGTAGCGCCGTTGCGTGCTTGTTTCATTTGATTTTATTGATTTATTTTTACTTTCTCGCTCCCATAGGGTAGAGAGGAAGTATTGTCATCCTCCAAAAAAAAAAAAAAAAAAAAAA